GCATTGCATCGTCAGGGTTTGTAATCAATGAATCGAGAAAACGAGTGAATCGTTACACCCCTAATTTATATGCATAGCACAAAATTAATTATGTGCCCAAGTTATTGTTTCCTATGGTCTTTTTGGAATGACTGTGAACATTGCAGTATGATATCATATGATATGAATATTATATCAAACTTCATAGACTGGCAACAAAACAACTATGTTGTGGAGAATATATCTTATAGAAAAAGTGTCAGAGGAAATAGTGTGCGATGGTGTTTTCTGACCTTGTATCCCACTGATCTGAGCCAGTGTCGTATTTGTATGTTGGTTGGAAATCAATCTCTCCCTCTGTGAAGCCCCCAAACACAACCTCCTCATCCATCTGCCGTTTCAGCTGAAACACATGAACATCCACGGTCATTTACACTGCCATCTAACTCAACACACTCCAGACAAACTGCAGCTGTACTCGGTCTTACCTGGTCGTGATTATACAAGCTCTCAAAATCCTTTTTAGCTATCAAGTCCTTCACATGATCAACTTCAAGGTCACTTATTCGGTAGTTTAGATCTCCCAGCCACAACACAACACTGGAAATGAAGAGAGAACCATGATGATGAAAGTTTTAAACAGGGAAAATTAGACTTTTGTCTCTAGTTAAATTAGCAGGCTGTTGTGTTTAGCTCGTACTTGTGTTTCATGATGGTGAGGGGTGGTAGTGTGAGGTCATCCTGGCTGAACTGCAGCCTGCGGCAAATGTCCTTGAAGTCCTGATTGCGTCTTTCAAACTCTTCCGTGTGTGCGGCGAGGTGGGAGTTCACCACACAGATGTCCGAGTTGTGAAATTGGAAGCGGATTGCAACTGCACCTTTATTACCCTAAACGAGAAACAAGGTTATTTGAACGCACCAATAACAGGGCTCTATTTTTTTGTGTGCTCCTAATTTAAAAAATGTAAAGTTAACCCTATTAAACCGGCTGTGTCATCACCGACACATCAAACCAAGCTGTTTTCATGTTACTGTTTGCACCATAGAAATAAGTCAAAATGCTCATGCCAGTAGACAATTTTCACTTTTTTGACAATATACAGCTTATTATGGCAATGTCCTGATTTCCCTCAGCAAACAGCACAGCAGCTTTTGGGAAGCATGAAAAGGAAGCATTTGAATGGATAATTACAGAATGCAAAAAATCATTTCAAAAACAAACAAAACAGCAGAAGATGCAACTGTGACGATTTATGATGAGATATGGGAGGAGGCAGCGGGACTTGTCAGACCAACATCTTGGCATGCGCTGTGCCTCAGTTTGTATGTTTGTATGTGTGAATTTGCACCCGTGCATGTGCATAGGCGTTAAAAAAGTCTCCTGAGTGAAAACTGTGAAACCCAGTGTCAGACTTGTTTTTATTATAGTCCAGTTGTTAGATTCTTTCGTTCATGTGTTTTTAAAGTGTCAGGAAAATGTATTCTAATTTTTAAAATTCTATTTACAAACTCTCAACAAACAATAATGGTCAATTACTGTAATTTACTGAAAGCAAATTGTTTTCTGAAAAAAAAAGATGCAGAAAAAAAAGACACCTTGCATTTGAAGATTGCATACTGTTTTAGAATTGCACAGCTCAAAAAAAATTAAGTATGTAAGAACTGCCTATTTTAGCTTTAGGTTCTAAATGGTTAAAGTCTACTTTTCAGAGATGATAATATGTATGTCAGAATATAACATGCACAAGTAGGCATGTATCAAGGTTACACTTTATTTTTTTAGGTGATGTTGTAATATTAAAAGTAATATTAACTAGCTATGTGTACTTAC